GGCGGCGGCGTGGTGGTGGGGCGTCTGCAGCAGCGGTTGGGGCTTCTGCGCCGTCGAAATGTGCGCGGGGGCAATAGACACCGTTGCGGCGTGGGGGAGCAATGCCCCCCCTTTCACTTTTCACCTTGCACACGCGCTCTCACGCTCGCCCCCAACGCTTGCATGATCAACTTGTGTGTGTTTTTTTTTCTTGTGTTCCTTGTTCATTACTGTTTCGGCCGAAGTTGTTTTTGGTTTATTGTGATTTGTTGTGGGATTTTGGTCGCGTTCGTTGGCCGCGACTGCGGCTGGGGGCCGCGGGCGGCCGCACTTCGCCCCACACGCGAGGGACATTTGAGAGCAGCAGAGAGAGAGAGGCATGAAGTATGGATTGCCGAGATGGCGGCAGGTATGTGTCTCTCTCCTTTACTTGATCTCTCCCGCGTTCCTCTGTGCCTGTTTGTTTGCTTGTGTGTCTGCCTTCTTCTTTTTCTCCCTCAGTGTGTGTGTGTGTGTGTGTGTAAATGAGGGGCGGCTGATGCACTCAACCGTCTCTTCACTCTTCTTTCCATCATTTTGGTTCTGCGAGTTTTTTGTTTTTTGGCTTTTTTTTTTGGTCTTTTTGCGTGCGGGATGGGACGACGGAGTTCATCCATGCTTGTGCCTCCCACACGCGTAGCTGCTGCTACAGCTCGCCACTGCACCTCAATAGGAGTGGTGCGACGTAATTTGCACGCACCCCTCGCACTTGGGCCGTTTTTTTGTTTGTTCGTTTTCATTCCCCAAGTGGAATGCTGCTGCGTGGCGTGCTGTGCACAATTCACTTTTTTTTTTCTCTCTCACATCAGCAATCGCCTCTTTGCCTGTTGGTGCTCTTTTGCCGCCCCTGTTGCTCGGGCCTGTGAGTTGTTTGCCGCGTCGCTGCCGGCCTCATGCCTTTCTCTCCGCTGTTGTTGTTTCGTCTCCCCGCGGCCACAACTGTGGCATCGCTGGGCTGGTGTGAGTGCTGCGGCACGGCGGACGCCCGCAGTGTTTTGTCAAGCACACACTTAGCGAGAAAGAAAGAAAGAAAGAGAGAGAGAAACATTTACACAGTAGCACACCGAGTCAGCATCATGCCTATTGCACTCTCCCAACCGAGGAATGCGCATGACACCGTGGCAACGCGGCCGGTGAGGTGTCTGCGGCGAGCGACCATCGCGCTTCTGTTCCTCTGCTGCACGGTTGCGTGCGGTGCACGTGTGGCGGCCGCACCAACTGCAAACGATGTCGACCCGCGTGAAGAGTACCGCTGCCGTGCATGCGTCGCGATCGCCACCGTATTCCATGCGGAGTTCCTGCAGCCGGCCGCGCTGACGCAGGAGCAGAGCAGCGCCGGTTCCCGAACTAGCAGCGATGCGGTACGTGCCGGGGTGCGGCAGCGGCTTGTGGTGGACGTGCACGACGCTGTCGACGGCCTTTGCAGGCGTGTGCGGGAGCTCCACGGGGCGGAGAACGCGCTGCAGCAGCAACGCCGCTCGGGGGGCGGCGGCGACACGAGTCCGCAGCGTCTGCGGCTGAACGCTGACGACGTAGCGGGATCGCGACGGTCCGTGCGGGATCGCATCAACGCGGTGTGCGACGACGTGCTGGAGGACGTCAATGAGCCGCTTGCGCAAGAGGCGTTCGTGAAACTGATGCCCGAGCGTGTGAAGAGGAGCAGCAGGGACGATGCGGCGGTGGGTAGTGAGAGCGAGTACCGCCTTGGCGAGGTGGGTGCGTTCTGCGAGCGGCAGAAGCTGTGCGAGCCGTACATCGCGTATCACATAACGCAAGAGGCGGCGGTAGCGCGGCGGCTGCAGCAACGCATGGCTGAGCAGCAGCAGCAACAGCGTGAGAAGTATGGGGCCTTGTTATACACCATGGAGCGGTTGCAGGCGGTCCTCCTCTTGGCTTCAGCTGAGCACTCCGCTCTCCTGGTGGGGTGCGCAGTGCTCCTCACAACAGTCATGGGTCTCCTGCTGTTCGCGTGGCGGCGAGGAGGCGTGGCGGCGGCGGCTCCTCGCAAAGTACATTCCAAGAGGGATTGAGGGTGTGCTCTTTTGGAGTGTTTGGTTTGCCCCCAGGCGGCCTGAAACACGAACGGGGACAAGGAGCCATAGACATGACAATGATTCACGTCAATGTCTGTGGCTTAAACTCTATGATTGGCTGACGGACTTGAATCACTCCATATGGCTGTGTGAACCACAGTCTGACGTTTGGCCTGTCTTCGTTTGGTTCCGCGTTCTCTGTGCCGCATTCACGCATGCATGCATGCTTCCACTGCAGCAGCTGCATGAAGCGGCTGTGCAGCACAATTTGTGCGCCAGGTAAGGCTATGACACTTTGTATAAAAGTAATGGAATGACTGTGTTTCTGTCTTAATGTGCGTTGGTGCTGCTATTTTCTGTTATCCGTTGATGTCTTTTGCTCCCATCGTCCTCTGCTGCGTCTTCTGTTCCTCGTCTCGTCCCCATGTTTTGCGGACAGTGAATTTTCAGAGTACCTTGAAGCATCAAGGGAAGCATAGTTGTGGCAGGAGCATTTCTTCAAACACCCCAATACAGTGAAGTCGGAGAAATACAGGCGGGTGAGACGGGCTGGAACAAAAAGGCCGAGGAGAGTTGAACACAGTCGCATTTCGCACACTTTTTTTTCCATGCCCCGTCTCATTCAGCGCCTGTTGCCATCGCGTTGGCCCTTGGCGAGTCCACCGGAGCCGTCTCCTGGTGCAGATGGTGACGATTCTGTTGACGCTGCTGCCTCCGGCGCGCTGCCCACACTATCGACGCATGACACACACAAGGATCGTCTGCCGTTTTGGCGCCGACTGCTCTGCGCGCCGGAGGTGCCAGAATTGAATACGCGCACCTCGCCGTTGCTGCAGGACAGTGCTGGGGATGCTTCTAGCAGCCTCGGCCCCTCCGTCTTTTCCGTCGCCGCTGCGGCCACCACCAGCAGCAAGAGCAACAATTCGTCATTGAGGGCGTCGCGGAGTCTGTTCGCCGGCCCGCCGCTGCTGGGAGAGCGGGATGGGGCGAGTTGCGCCGATGCACCTGTCGCCTCTCAACCGCCGTGCCCCGCTGCGTGCTGGACGGTGACCGATACGCGGCGAGCGGCTCCAGAGCCCAACGGCGCAGCATCAGCAGCAGCAGCAACAGCGTGTTGCACCTCCTTCCCGCCGTCCTCGTCGTTGGCGTGCCACACAGATCTGACGCAGCTGAAGCAGGCTCAAAAGGAGCAGCTGAAGGAGGTCACGCGACGGAAACGAGAGCTCCTGCGCGACGAGGAGGCCCTGCTGGAGGAAGAACGCCGTCGCCTTGGACTTCTGGCTTGCCGCTTCTCTGTCGATGGAGCTCAGGGAGAAGCGTCACCGGGGGCCGCACTCACGATGGAGGCACTGGCGCAGCACGAGGCGGAAAATTTCAAGGCCGCTGCAGGCGGGATGGTTGTGCCACGCAAAACGTCCATTGCCGACACTGAAGAGGAAACAGGCTTCGTTGAAGGTGATGATGCGATCGATCTGCAGGACCTGAATCGCCTTTACGAATACTACAAGCGTCGTGAAGGAATATATTCCACTCCTGTACAGGAGGATTCAGTGTCTTCTCCCGCTTCAGTACGAGCAGCAGCTGTACCACTACAAACACAACCCATCAAGAAGACGCGGAGCTATTCCCTGTACTCTCGGCAGTATATTGAGCGTGTGGTACTAGCGCAGCGCTCGCAGCAGCTAATGGCACTCATGTGGCTCCTTGCGGAATCCATGCGGCATGCATGGAAGCTGCACTTGCGACTTGCACAGCTGTACTTCTACTACGTACCGATCTGCTTGCGGGCCGCAGCTGCGGAGTCTGCTTTGGGTAAGGGTGAGGACGCTGACGCAGATGCCATAATGAAAAACCGGTACTACTCATACTTTTGCTCAGGTAATTTTGATTATGAGTACTACGCGTATCATTTCAGCCAAGAGTGGGATCCACTCTTTGCCGATGTCCTCAACTACCTGAAGCCGGACAGTGCTGATGACGATACCACGCCTGGTGGAAGCGTTGGCGCTGCGGCTACGGTCCTGTATTCGATGGAGCTTTTCGAGCGTCAGCGTGAGCTGCAGCTGGCGGTGCGTGAGGCGGATATATTTGTGCGGTCGCGCTGGCAGTGCATCAACGATCCCAGCGCGTTGACGGCGATTCCGCCCCCTGTTGCTGTGCCGCAGCCTGCTGCTGCTGCTGCTGCTGCTGTTGATAACAATGGCGGTAGTGGCGACAATGGGACGGAGGAGGGAGGTGCGCAGGTGGTGTCCGCGAGTCCCACCAACGACACAGCAGAGAAGCCAGTGGAGGAGGCGACATACGTCCCGGTGGACTGGTGGAGCGCGCAGGACGCCGACGTGAGGGCACACGTCAGCTGGAATCGCAAGAAACGGAAGCTGCGCCAAATCCGTCTCAGCGTGACGGCGAAGGACAAGTCTCGGCGGCTGGAAGGCGCCGACCACGACACAGCCACCGCTGCTGCTGCTGCTGCTGCTGGCACGCCGACGATTGAGGAGCTGACACCTGTCGCCATTGAGAACCTCTTAGAGGATTGCAGCGACGAGGAGTCTCAGTCGCACCACATCGTCAATGTTGGTTGCTTCGGATTCTCATTCTTCTCACGGTGGGATTAGGACAGACTGGTGAATTGAAGGAGCTAAGAAGGTGCAGGTGCGCTATAAAGCAAGTGAACAAAATTTCGTGTAGGAAATGAATAAATGCACACAGTACAGCTGTGGGCAATAAACGTCTGTGCTTCGACTTTGACTATAGGGCGTTTTGTTTTTTCCTTTTCTTTGCGTTACGTTGCAGAACTGCTTGATTGGTCAGGGTCTATGCGTGTATAGATTCTCGGTGTATATATGTTGCTCCCTTCCCCACCGACGACCCGCGGCAGTTGATCTAAACAACAAAGAAAACACAAGACAGGTAAACGTAGTACTATCTACACGCAATGAATGAATGAATGAGGCAGGCTAAGGATGGGCTTTGAGAGAAAGAAAGAGAGAGAGAGAGAGAGAGAGAGAGAAGGACGCAATATGAAATTGATTAAAGAGTAGGAACTCTATAACAAAAAAAGGGGTGGGGGAGAATATCTTTGCAGCAATGCGGTGCTTCCAAGAATATGTTTCTACGTATATGATCCTTTTTTTTTTGTTTGTTGAGTGGTGTGTCTGTTTATTTTTCTGGTTGCTCGTTTTTAAGACGCGGTGCGGACAGTGGGAGGACCCGCGGCAGGCGCAGCAGATAAATCAGTCTTGAGAAGTCGTCGCGATATATTTGCTGTGCGTAAATAGAGACATGTATTGCTGTGGCTCTCCATGTGTGTATGTGTGCCGAATGTTGCAGCAGCAGCACACCATAGCAGGAGCCGAAAGCAAACATTAGACACCCAGATAGGGCGGTGGAGTACTGTAGACGGGGCAAGAGTTGTCATGGCTGTGCTTGACGCGTACCTACACATGCACAGAGACATACAGAGATGTGCCTTTGCCACTGACATTCCACAAAGGGCTCTAGTCATATAAGGCCGCCTGGGCTGCCCACTACCACCGCTGATGCAGCATTGTGTTTTTTTTTTGTTTTGTGTTTGAGTCTCGAAGTGAATATATATATATATGTGTTTTTGTTTCTGCCCGACAGCATGTGTGCCCTTTTTTTTTGGTTCTGGGGAGAACCATTGTGCGTGCTGTGTGTTTGTGCAGCTCCGGGTACGCTTGTGTTGCTGTGTGGCTCTGCAGACACGATGGTGTGCAGGCCTTTTCCCCTCAATCTCCCTCTGTGTGTGTGGGGGGGGGGTATGTGTGTGCCTGTGGTTGGGCTACGTCACAGAGCCTACTTCTGCGTGACAATACGTGCCAGCCATGGAGCATGTAGGAGACGCCGCGCTGAATACGGATCGCTTTTGTTTTTGTTATTTTGCGTGTATGCATAATGAACCAAGAGGAAATGAGTCTACGTTTAATGTTTTTTTTTTCGTTTGTTGGCGCGCATATGTATATGAACATCTGCGCTTTATTTCTCACGCGTTTATCTGTTCTTTCTTCGTTGGCTACGCTGACGAGATCGTGTGCCTCTCCTGTGTTCCTCCTGTGACTTCTTCAGCCTTTGTGCTGCTGTGGCTCTGCTGCATATTCGCCGCCTGTGGTGCTCTCAGGGGTGTTGCTCTATGTGTCTTCGCTTTTTTTTTTTCGGTTGTCCTTGTTGCCTGCTTCGCCTTGTGCAGCAGCATCGTTGCCACACACGTATAGATCTATATCTGGCGCTCTGCGGGGGCCTGCAGCTGCCCCTTGCACGCTCTCCACGAATTCTCCCTGTCTGTCTGTGTGTGCCTCACTCTTTGTGGTGCGCTGCGAAACAGAAAAGGGAGCCACATTACTGGCACCTGCGCTCCCAGCCGTTGGCAGGACTGAGAAGGTGTGAGAGCAACGACCGCTACACAACATACACGCAGGTAAGGCGGTGGAAATGCTTTCGGATCGTGTTCTCACATCGGACCTTGTGAGTGCCACGGAAACCTTTGACAGCAGCAGCTCGACGGACGGCGAAGACGAGCGCGAGTACGTCTTCAAGGTTGTTGTTGTTGGCGAGTACAGCGTGGGCAAGACACTGCTGGTGAAGCGCCTGCTGACCGCCCCGTACTCGGTAGAGGCGAATGGCACGCCAATCAACTCTATAGAGAAGCCGGACGTCCCTGCCGCTACCCCCGCTGCTGATGGACTGGACGTCTCTCTGCCAGTTGTGCCGACGGTCGGAACCGACTTCTTTTCGCGCGTGGTGCGGAATGTGCGTGACGGGCAGCACGTGCGGCTGCAGTTTTGGGACACCGCCGGCTTGGAGCGGTACGCGGCCGTGCACGCGTCGACGTACCGCAATGCGTCCGCGGTGGTTGTCGTCTTTGATGTGAGCAGCAGGCGCAGCGTCGAGTCCGTGCTGACGCGGCACCTTGAGGCGGCAGCACGGTACAACCCCGACATTGACCAGCAGAGTATCTTCATCGTCGCGAACAAGGTCGACCTGCGCGCCAGCGGCGAGGGGGAATGCGTGTCACAGCTCGACATCGAATCGACTCTTCTGAGCACTCTGCCGGATGTGCACTACCACGAAGTCAGCGCACTCACAACGGCCGGTGTGTGCGAGTTGCTCCGCTCTTTGTGTGACTCACTTCTTACTGGAAGTGGCGCTGATGCGGAAGGGGCGACAGAATCAGCAGCGCCAGAGCAGCCAAAGCCCGGTGCAGATGCGACAAAGAGCGTGGACCCCTCCCACAATGCCCAGCCAACACCCGCAGCAGTAGCAACAACAACAATAGACGCAGGCGTAGGTGAGAAGTCGGTCTTCTCGTCCACCCCTCCAGTTTTTCGGACTGATGTGCCAGCCGACGATTATTCCCCACGCGAAGGTGACGGCGGCAACACCACACAGGGTGTGCCTGTGGCCGAGCGTCACGCAGACCCGCACCAACTGGAGCGCCGCAGCAGCGACGTCTTGCACAGTGCCGCAGCAACGGCGACGTGGCGCGGCGGTGGGAAGACCGACGCCGCACTGACGATGCCTGAGAGCAGCGATGCACACGAGGGAAATTGCAGGGATGCGCTGGAGCACAGCTGCACGGGCGCGGACGAGCAGCGGCGGGCGAGCACCAGCCACAGCAGCGACTCGGTGGACTTCCAGCAGCGGATCCAGGAGCGTTTTAACGCAGCGGAGCAGAACGCGCGGCAGACGTCCGCGCCGCAGCCACTGCCGCCCAACGCACCGGGCCGTGATAGGAAGGTGCCCAAGGTGAAACTGTCGTCGTGCTCAGGTGAAAAATCGACTGTTAAGAAATCAAAGCGGTGCAAATGCTAAACTCCACCAGATGCATCCAATGTTGTTGCTCTGACGTGAGGCGCTCACCTACCGGCAGAATCTTGCGGTCCTGGCGTGCTGTTTTTGTGCAGTGGTCTCCGGTTACGGTGCTTCAATCTTTCCCTCTGTGCGGCACGAGTGGTGAGCTGAATGAATGTTCACACTGCCATGTGTCTGTGGGGAAACGCCTTGTATATATATATATATATATATACACATATACTTGCGGGAGTGTACAGGTTTGTGCTTTGTCCTTTACCTTTCTGTTGTCCAACTGTTATGGATAGATGCAGCAGAACGTGAGTTATGCCACCAAGCGCGCCGACTTGTCCCTCCTTCATGCCTCGCTGCGGCGCTTTGAGAAGGCGATGCAATGCACTATGGCGGCGATGAATGAAGTGCGGGTAGCATTTGAAGGAGTGAGCGGCGCCTTCAATGGACTCACTTCATTGAGCTCGTGTGGCACCGACGCCAAGGTCATGATGCAGCGCTTTGCGCAGGAAATGAAGGAACTGAAAGACGGTAACGCGTTCTTGATGTACAACAAGCAGGTACACGAGGAAGTGCTTACGCCAGTGAAGAGATTGGAGGTGGCGCTTTCAGCAACGGAGATTAACGCTCGCATGCGCGATAGTGCACTGAAGCGATACGAGCAGTTGCGTTCGGAGGTAGAGCGAAAGGAGAGCAGCTACGCAAGAAGTCACAAGAGCCTGGATACAAGTAAGACCTACAAAAAGATTGTGGAGTCTCGTGAGAAGGCCCTCAATGCGTACGAGACTGTGGACAGGGCGTTTAACAAGGCGTTTGAAACCCTTATGTGGCAAACTGGATCTGTGGCAGACGTTTCGATGCACCGTTACATTCGTCTGAATAGCGAGTTCCTTATCCATGTAGTGCAAGCCCTTGACGGGGCGGCCCCTTTGAGACCGTACGGCGAGTCGCAATACGCCGCTACCGAAATTCCTGCATCCAGTGCCACAACGTGTCGTGGCCGGACATGTGCTTCCGCGCCCTCTTGTCATTCAGCTGTGCCCACGGCACTGGACGGCGCATCAGTTCCTGCGGAAGGTGTGGCTCACGGCGACTCTTTCCGCGATGCGTCGTCTGTTGCGCTGCAGCAGGTGCATCACGAGTGTGTACCGGAATTCAGTGACAACCCAATCTTCTTCCGGGCATTCACGCCACAGGCCAACCGTCGCTACCAGGATTATTCCGTCAGCAGCTCACTTCAGCCGCCAACTGAGCGAGGTCCTCGTGTGGACGACTCGCACGCACAGCTGCCTGGTGGCGCCGCAGCCGAGGTGCCGCGGCCGCTGAGTGGATTGAGTGGACTGAGCGGCAGCCGGCCTTCAGTGTACGACAGCGGTGGGCTGCTGGCAGCACAAACAGCGAGAGACAACGCGGCGGGCGTGCCGGTGCCCCCTCTCTGGCGAACACAAGACCTCTACGGCTCTGCAGAAGTGCCTCATCAACCGGAGTGTCAATATAGAGTTTGCTAAATCAAATGAGCCTCTGCTGTGCGGGAAGGTAACAGTTTCTCTCGTCTGACGGAAGTCCTCTTCCTCTGATTTTCGTCGCTGCTATTTCCTTTTTGTTTGCCCGCCTGCCCCATACAAGGGCGAATGCTGTAATTATTGCGTGGACGAGGCTGGTGACGTGTGTGTGTGTGTGTGGCCTCCCCTTACGACACCTTCAAATGCGGTGTGCGAGTTTGATGTTGTCTTTTTTCTTTTTTCTTTGCTGTGAATTACGGTTACTGACGCCGTTGTGTTCTCTGAGCCACGCAAAGCTCCTGTCAGTCTACGCGCCCCCACTTCGTTTCCTCTTTTTTTGTCTTTTTGATACACGCCTGCACGGGTGTTTCTTGTGTCTGATGCTCTGGAGGGTTCATTGGGTGGGAACGTGCGCTCGGCACAAAGGAAGATGCTTCGCCGCCACTCGCTCACGCTGTGTCGGGGTGCGGGCGCTCACCGGCCGCTGTG